TGCCAGTAAATGCTTGATGTGCTCTTTATATATATATTAGCTAATATAATAATATCTATAATATATTTATATTATATACTTATATAAATTATAGCCGTATTGTTTTATAAAGTATATATTTTAAAAAAAATCCATATTTTTATATAATGGTTTGTGGTATATATATAGTTTATATATAACTTTTTAAAAAAATACGTATTTTTATATAATGTACTATATATTTTCATATATATTATATACTATTTATATTATATATATATGATAGTATATTATATATACCATATTATTAAAAAATACGATATATTTTTGGGGAGGGTCTAGTCAGCTTCTTCCTGGTTTAGTCTTGGGAGAGTGTAAGTGTCCAGGAAATTATCCATTTCTTCTAGATTTTCTAGTTTATTTGCATAGAGGTGTTTATAGTATTCTCTCATGGTAGTTTGTATTTCTGTGGGGTCGGTGGTGATAAGATTTCATTTTCTAAAGGTGATTGTGATGCAGATTGCTTATGTACTACATTTTGGAGTGCATTATTTTATGGCTTTGTTCATGCTGTTCCCTCTCTCTGGAAGATGCTGCAATTATTTGAGTTGTCCACACTTTAAGTCCAGTTCAGAAATCTGTCCCTAACTACCTAAGCTTAGAGTCCCTCTGAATCTGACCTGTTACAGCATTCATTACATGTATCATATTATTCCTTTGCTACCTTACCCATTAGACCTTGTAAGTGCTTTGAAGGCAAGAGCCTTGGCTGTATTTCTTTCTAACTCTCATAGTCCCAGGGCAGTCTTTCATACATAGTAGGTGTTCAGTAAAAAACCACAAAAAACAGCAACATGGTTCACTGATACTCATTAAATTTGAATATAAAAAATGATTTCAATCAGTGGAATGGATGTTCCCTAATACTGATCTCCCCTGCAAATTAATAATTTTTATATAATGTTTAGTCAATTATCAAGGTCCTAATTTTAAGTTTAAAAATGGAGCCACATTGAGAATTAAAAAAAAAATCATTTTGGAGTAATTTTTTTGAGACTTCTTATATTTGCATTTTAATATGCATGTTTTCAGACAGAGAGAGGGAGAGAGAAAGAGCTTACCTTTAATCTGTGTGCATTTTTATTATAAAAATTGAAACTCAGGAAATAAGAAATATTATTTTATTAGAAAGGTATGCAAAGTTTGCAAACTTTTCGCACAACTTCTCCAAGAAATATTATGTTTTGGGATTTCAGCCTGATTGATTTAAAGAGTGGTGTTTCTAAAGATTCTTATCACACTCCTTACACTCTCAGTTCAATCTTAGCAACTTGGATATAGAAAAATGGTTTTCCTTTCCCCTGGAAGGGGCTGGACTCTAAACACAACTGCCTTTGAGGCAATTATTTCCTTTTCCTTAAAGTATAGATATAGTCTCTGCTACTACACAGAGTAAAGTGTAAAAATTTAATCACCCACAAGCCTTCTTTCTTATTTCTATGCCTATGAATCTATATAACAAAAATGCCTTACAGAAAACACATAAAACTTTCACTATGGTCATGAATTGCTCCAAACTGCTCCTCAGTCTGTGGATCTCAATGAGGCTGGAGAATTGGGTCTCTTGAAGGAGTAAAAACAGTTCAGTTGATTACACTTCAGTCTTGAGCGCCATCTGCACTATTGGAGGCTTTGTGTTCACGACTTTATTCACCGGCATCACTTAGACTCTACTGTCTAAGGCATGGAGGGCTGACAGGTTGTGATGCAGCCATTTCCTGATTTGCACATTTAGACTGAGTGTTCAAAGCCATAGAGCATTGTCTTTGTTGATAGACTCAGCTCTGCTTTCTGTTAGGTGTTTTTGCTGGTTTTGAGAAGAGATTTCTTCAACATGCTATTTTCTATCAGGGAGTAAATAGACTGTCTGTTACCTATGGCCACAGGGTGCAGAGATTGCGGGTAGAGTTCAGTGGTAGAGCATTTGACTGCTTATGGTGCAGAGAGACAAGCAATCCCCAGCACACCTGAAGTGCTGGAGCATCCTTGCTCTGCTCTCTCATGACTGTGTGCTCGCACAAGCCAGTACATCTAGTGGCACCTGGTTATTGCCCTAAAACCTCCTTTCCTTTCTTCATTGATTATCTGTAAAACATGTAAAAGATGAATGAAAGAATAAACACTTGGATAAAAAAGATATGTTTGTTTCCATGATCAAATAGTTTGTGTATAATTGAATCAGTGACTTTTTGACCACCCAATTAAACAACAGGTAGTACAAGAAAATAAAGGAACCCTTTCATGTTGAAGGTGAATTTGTGAAAAGAGAAGAAAAAGAGAAGGTATTGATGAAGCACAAAGACCATGAAGGGCATTAGTGTTCCTTACTCAAACTTAACAGGGACTAAGGTCTGAGAAAAGTCAAAAACAGATGTTCCATCTTATAAGGGACATTACAGATATCTAGTCTGATTCTCAACCCTGGTTGCATATTAAAATTATGTAAGAAATGTTGGTATTAACTGGTTATTGAAATACAATAGATACACACCATGAGTGTACAGTTCAATTATTGTATTAGTCTGTTCTCACACTGCTAATAAAGATATACCCAAGACTGGGTAATTTATAAAGGAAATAGGTTTAATGGACTCACAGTTCCACATGGCTGGAGAGGCCTCACAACCATTGGTAGAAGACAAAGGAGGAGCAAAGTCACATCTTGCATGCCAGCAGTCAAGAGAGAGCATATACAGGGGAGGTCCCCTTTATAAAACCATCGGATGTCATGAGACTTACTCACTATCATGAGAATAGCACAGGAAAGACCCGCATCCGTGATTCAGTTAACTTACCAGGTCCCTTCCATAACACATGGGAATTATGGGAGCTACAATTCAGGATGAGATTTGGGTGGGGACACAGCCAAACCATTTCAATTATTAAAAACCACAATTTTTTTTGCACCAATGTAATAATTTTCTCAAGCTAAATATGCCCCTGTAACTACCATCAGATTGAGAAATAGAACATTTCTAGCCACAGAAGTCCCCATATTTTTCCTCATTATTATCTTCCCCACAGAAGTAACCCTCCTCCTGACTGAATACTCTAAATTATTTTTGCTTAGTTTTGAAATTTATATACATGGAATAATAGAGTATTATGTTCTTCTGTATCAGGCCTTTTTCCTTTTCTGCCCAACACAATGTTTGTGAAATTCTGCAAGTATCAATAGTTCATTCCTGGAAAACATTCTCATTGTTGCCCACTACCCCATTTATGAATATGCCACCATTTATTTACCTATTCTACTGCTAATGGACATGTGTTGACTGCAGTTTGCGACTACTGCAAACAGGGCTGCCATCAATATTACTTTATAAATATTTTGGTGAAAATATGTAAATATGTTGTGGGGCATGTACTCAGGAATAGAATCATTGGACCATGGTCTGTGTGCATGTTGTTCGGTGTGCACAGCTACTTATTTTCCAAAGTGATCATACCAATCTACACTCAAATTCTAATTGCTACATATTTTTACCCACCTAGAAACTTTAAAAAATGCCCAAACTCAAGCTCCATTCAGGCTCTACCCCAGAACAATTAAATAATAATTTTTCAGGGGAAGGACCAAGAACTGGCCTTTAAAAAACTCCCTAGATGGCACTAATGTGCATCGGGGAAGAGAACCAAACATTATAATTACTCAGGTGAAGTAACTGGGGTAGGAAGAGATAAAATGCTTTTCCCAAGCCACCCTAACAGTGAAAGGACCAAGGCTAGATGCCAAGTCTGACTCCTGCCTCATGCTTTTTCTTCCCAGCTGGTCTCATTTGGACGTTCTTCCTTAGTATGCCATGCTCATATTGTGAAAATGAACTTTGGCTTGGCCTATACTTTTAGAGCATTTTTTTTGGTTTGTTGTTTACAAAGCAGTTTTTTTAAGGCTTGATGGGTAGGTAGAGCAGGTATGCAGGACTGGCTACATCATTTGTGAGATCTAGTAGAAAATGAAAATGCAAGGTTCCTTGTTCAAATATGATTAAGAATTTCAAGACCATAACAGCAGACATTAAACCAAGCATAGAGCTCTTCTAAGAGTGGGGTCATGTCTGATGGCACAGATTGCACATTCGTAAAACTGGCCCCATAGGTGTTATCACAGTATTTGAAAGTTACAGATGAAAAGTAAGGTTTGGTGACTTGGTAAGTGGTTCAGTTAAGAGTTGAGACTGGTCTGATGATGCCTGCTTTGACTTTCTGGCATAAATGATAGGTGTGTTCCTTTTTTCTAGGATTTTAAAAAATAAAATGAAGAAAATGATGTAGATTAATTGCAAAATGCATGCAGAGGAAGAAATTTTGAAATAAAAAGGAAGGAGGAATCATTCGGCAAAAGGAGTAAAGAACACATTTTGGAAAAATGAGATACAACTAACTGCTGTTAAAACTGAGACTTGGGCTCCTTTCCTGCTCACTCTTTCTGGACATTTCTGTTCTTTTTTCGTGAGACATTTGGCTGATAAACTCCATCCAGATGTTTGGACCCTCCCAATAGATACTTTCATAAGTCTAGTGTTGGGAACGGTCGAAAAAACAGATGGAAAAATATAGTTCCTGAGTCAAAATCTTTAATAAGACATGGAAACATAATGAAACTCTCAAATAGACATGGAGTTGGGAACAGAATTGTAAGAAGTAACTCTCAATTGTACGTGTGTGTCACAAAGTAAGAATAATAAAAGTCTACCCTACATATCTCCAATTAATCTGTTTCTCCCCATGCTATCCCCACAATATTCTTACAAGCCTATGACAAACTTCGTAAACTAGAGATAGGTTGTAATCAAGGAGCTACATTATCAGATATCTATTTCCATGAGGGGAGGTAATTTCTGATCAATTATGTACTTTTGAAGTTTCTTTTTGCCTCTTTTCAGTTGTTTGGGGATATTTGTGAATGGCAAATAGTAATACGTAACTAACATTTCTTTCCTTAAAATGGTCTTTTTTTCTTATGAGTGGCTTCAGTTGAACTAGTTTGTCTTCTGAAGACATACAAAGGCATTTCTGACTTCGGCCCCTCTTGTACACCAGACCGTTGTAGCTCTTCCATCCCACAAGAGTGAAGACTCAGGAGTCAGAACTTAGAACTTGAGCCCAAGCCACCAGATACTTGAGTTAAGGGGTCTGGTGGGCCTTTAAAACGATCACATTCCCTTATTTGCTTTCATTTTCTTTGTCTGTAAAATGGGGATGTTATGGACTATGTTCTCTCCACCATCTCAAATTCCTGTGTTGAAGACCTTATCCCTAGTACCTCACAGTGTTGCTGTTTTTGGAGATAGGGGCTTTAAAAATACAATTAAGATTAAATGGGGTTGTTAGGGTGGGACCTACTCCAATATGACTGGTTTCCTTATATGAAGAGGAGATTAGGACACACATAGTCACAGAGGGAAGACCATGTGAAGACAGAGGAAAAAGGCGTAAATTTGTACAGCAAGCAGAAAAACCTCAGAAAAAAATATTAACCCTATTGACACCTTGATCTTGGACTTTCAGCCTTTACAACTGTGAGGAAATACGTTTCTGTTGTTTAAGCCACCCAATCTTTGGTACTTTGTTATTGCAGCCAGAGCTAAGACAGAGGGTGATCTAATAACACTCACTTCCAAGATCGTTTTGTGGAATAAATGAAATCAGCATGTTGATTAACTGTCAAGTGTAGTGTAGGTGTTACTCCTATCAGCCACTAACTTTTGCTTTTCTTTGCTGTGCACATGGTTTACCTGTTTATTTTCTTCCTTTCCCTACTCTCCATTTCTGCCTTTAACATATAGCATGGCTCCTTAAGAAAAGAAAATTTAATTCAAAAGTGAAAGAGCCACACCACTGAGTGTTTCCCCCTCCGTGTTTGTTTGTTTATATTTTAAATCTAAACAAGAAGCCTCACGTGTCCTTTTCTTTGTTGAGAGGTCAAATCCCAAATACACACCCAGATGTAAATGTGTTCCCAGGGTCTAGTGTCTCACCTCTGAGTCGCATCTGTTTTTCCACACTCCCCATTCTCACCATTCATACTAAACAGAAACATGAGAAAGAGGACAGATGAATACTTTCAGGGGTAATCCCCCAGTAACCATTTTCTCTTTTGCTGAAGGACTGTTTTTCTTGTTATCTAACTATAAATGCCCTCATTTTATCCAATTGACTGTGCCGATATTACCCTGAGAATAGTTAGTATTTGTAGAGCAGAGTCCCTCTAGAAGCTCAAAGTTCTATGTAAATATTGTCTCATTAGAAACTCATATATCCCCATAAATTAGGTTGGTGGATGCTGTGATTCCTCTGATGTGCAGATGGAGAAGTGGAGGGTGGGTGACTTTTGCAAATTCAGAAATGCTGGGAGGGAAATATGGAAAAGCAGCACCTTCTCAGATTTAGCGATAAAGCCTCAGGCCAGTTCCCTGGATTTTCACAGGTTGAAAGGCATTCAGTACAAAGCCATCTGAGTGTGTTTTGATGAGGACTTAGAACCTTATAAACATCATTATCCTTGCTTTTCCCTGGAGACTAGGGCACAGAGTTTTAACTGATGAGGCTGAAAAGTACCTGTAAAGTCTTGGGATTTAGATGTTCTGTTATTTTCCTGGTAGCTAGCTATTGATCACGATTTGTTTCTCCAGCTCACTTTTGATATTCTCATTTCTGAATCAATCTCATCAGTAATCCCTATAGCAGTACCCTACAACAACAAGGTCCCATCCTATAAGCGTAAGTCCCCCCACAATCTTTCAATATGCTTTTTTTTTTTTTAGTCTAGTCAGCAAATTCCCAATTCAAGAGTGTACTCCCACATCTATCTTTCATTCTTTTAGTGCATTGGTCTTCCTTTGTCTTTATTTTCTCCTCTGAAAATCCTGCTTGGGTTAGTTACATGGCTGCAAAAACTAATAAATAGGCTTATCAAATGACAGATAATTGCTAATAAGAATCGCCTAATAAAATATACATTGTTAATAACACAGAATGCCAGTACGGCTATGTCACAAAGCAATGAAAAACAGAGACCAAGTATAAAGGGGCTGTCAAGGTTAAGATTGCTTCTGCGTCAGCACCTAATTGGTTAATGGAAGCAGCAGTGGAGAGTGTGCAAAAGCATCCAAAGCTGAGGATAAGCCAGAGGGGAACTGAGACACTGCAGATGGATTTCCTGCTTATGGGTCAGGGCTGAATTGAAATTGTGACTGCAGGACGGACCGGTTTTTATTATAATATTCATCTCCCTCTAAAATCTGGTGAGCAGCTTCCCTGCTGACTCAATAATGCCTATTGCTGAACATCTGCAGTTATACAAAGGACGATTACTGTTGGCTGAAAGCTTTCTTATAGAGGATACTTCTTTAGAAAAGAAAGTAGCAGCCTTTACCTGCAGTGGGGTGGGGATACACTACAGATATTTAACTCAGTATTTTCATAGTACAGCATATTCAGGTGTAACTTGTTTAATTATTTCTTGAATGGCTTTGAGATTTGTATTTCTGAGGTCTTTGTTCTGTAGAACATGCCAATACTTCTCTCTCTGTCTTTCTTATACATTAAGTCATTATTTTGTCCTACTATCAGACTGAAGATTGTAAAAGTGTCATTTCCTTTCAGAAAGTTCTTTTTTACAATCAAGATTATTAACTTCATATATTAATGCTTTTTAAAAAGAATAAAAGTTTTATTTTCTAACAAGTAATACTGCACTTTTTCAGAAGACATGTGCTATAAAGAAACTTGTTAGGGAAAGATTGCAAAGAATATACACATTTAAATTGAGCAAGTGCTGGCCTCTCACATAAGGAGAGAGATCCCACCTGCAACTAGCTTTTAAAAGACACAATGCAGAAACTATACCATTACAATTCCAAGAAAATTTTCATAGGAAAAATAAATATCCATAACTCTCAAAATGTATTTCATAGATTTCATGCTAAAAGCACAATTATAGGTATCTCTAGAAGCTAAAATATTTTAAAGGCCACAAATCCCTAGTTATTCTATTCTCTTGTGCTTATTTAATATTTTCAAAGATATTATCTCCTGTCAGGTAATGAGATCTCTCCCCTTAGTTAATCTTTTTTTTCTTTCCATGAAATAAATTGGTATTTGTGTGTGGTTGGCAGAAATAGGGCAGTGACAGGATTGAGAAAAATCCAGATAAGAAACCTGGTGCAGCCAGTGTTACATGCCTCTTGGCAGATCAACCAAAATAGCCAAGCAGGTGAAGCCCTTTGATTGGCCTACCTGGGTGGCATGCCCACCACAAGTTCCAGAGGAACCAGTCCATCCAGTTGGGTTCTGATGGCAAATGTGTCAGGAGAGAGGGGTCAGAAAGTTGGGGCTTGGGGGTGTGAAGGATGTTCAGTGATCATTTGTGACTCTCATGGTCTTTCTCAAATGTCAGTGTTTCTATAACCTAACAGCTCATCCTTTTAGAGCCCTTACTGTATGCTAAGCATTGTTCTAAGTACTTCATGTATGTATTATCTCTTTAAATCTAATGATGAGAATGGGTTCTCATTTTTCACTCTCACTATATATACGCACACACATAAACACATCTGCATATGTGTTATGCATATATGTTGTGTCTGTGTGTGTTAGCTTTTGATTTTTTTTAATCAAGGAGGTTTATATCCCATCTCCTTTGACAGCCCTTTTCTGTGAAACTGCACAGTGCTTGCTCTTGCAATGTAATGAGGTGTTAAGGACTCACCAGGCCATGTCTGTTTACAGTCATGTTACATTTTGTGCTTGTCACATTGCTGCATTTTAAACTATTTGAAGGTGGAGATAATTTCTTACACATTTTGTTGTGCCACATGGTTCACACAGCCTGGCACAGAGCACATGCTCATCTCTTTGCTGAGGAGTTAGAACCTGACTGCAGCTTTGAACAGAGTGGGATTGTGGTTGGCAGAGTTCAATGGATTTATTTATCTCCAAGATCATATTTTATATTTTGCTCTGTCAAATCACGATATCTTCTCAAGGTGAAAATTCCAATAACCACTGAATATATAAATGTGGCTAGAAACTGGAAAATGAGATGATGTAGATAATTAGACATTTATTCAGGGAGAAGATGGCTACATTGATTTTTCCCTGAAAATTGGCTTTACTTCTCTTTATAATGAAAAACTAACATACTGCTTTTGTAAAAAGATGACCTATTTCCTTTACTTGTAACTTTAAAAAGCAAATTCTACCAATTTCAGTGTAATCATTACTGACTCATAAATCACTTGAGAAAAACGGACTTTGAACATTTCCTGTTTTGCAAATGAGGAAACTGAAACCTAGGCATGTTAAGTGGTTGGGCCAAAGTCACACATCACATTACTAGCTGAGACACTTTGACTTAGAATACATATTTTAATCCAATAAATATTCAGGGTTTAGGAGATACCTTGCTCCTGGTAGGAACTCAATAAATATTGGTTGGGAGAGTAGATTATTCTGACTGGGTACTGACCAATCAGAACAGAAGTTGCCCTTAACAACTAGTGCGGCCATAGTGGTGCATATTGACAAAGTGTCGGCCCTGAAAGCCATGAACTAACCACTGTGCCTGCACCAAGTAGGCAGATGGTCAGAGCTGAGGGTTCATTTACTTCATCCCCTTCTTTTTCTAGATGTGTCCCAAGCCACACATTCAAATCAAGAAGTGGAAGTCAGCTTGTGGGTTCCTGGTGGATAGTGCTTTCCACCACATCAATTCTAAATGTGTGGATAGAAATGACATGAGGTTATAGTAGAAAGACAGTAACTTGGTTCTTGGTAACTAAATGTTTCTATAATGAGGCAGAGGCAAGGTAACCCTTAGGGAGAATCATTAGAAGTATTTAGCTTTATTTAGGAGACAAGAGTAAAGCTGAAACTCAAATGAGAAAGTAAGAAGTCAAGAAACCATAGATATCGTGAAAGTCTATGAGTAAAATGCATCATTGAAAGTGATACATACGCTCTTCTGCCGTCGTTGTCGTCACCATCCTCGGCGCCACTCGCTTCATTCGGTTCTACCTGGGAGAATCCACCGCCATCGGCCACCATGGTGAACTTCACGGTAGAACAGATCCACACCATCATGGACAAGAAGGCCAATATCCGCAACATGTCTGTCATCGCCCACGTGGACCACGGCAAGTCCACACTGACAGACTCCCTGGTGTGCAAGGCGGGCATCATCGCCTCGGCCCGGGCCAGGGAGACACGCTTCACTGACACTCGGAAAGATGAGCAGGAGCGTTGCATCACCATCAAGTCAAATGCCATCTCTCTCTTCTACGAGCTC